CGTCATGCCGTCGGCATCTTGGATTTTGTATGCCACGGCGGATTGGGCATCGCCTTGGGGACGCACAATTAGGAGGGTCTTGGTGTCGGTAATGTGGTCTTTGCGGATGGCGATGGGGCGGCCGGGGGCTTTGAGGGTTCTACGGATTTTGGATTTCGAGGTGGGGAGGGTTGGGAGGAGAGGAGGTTGTTGCTGTTGCTGTTGTTGTTGGTGGGAAGAGAACCAGAACATGGTGGTGGTGGTGGTGGTGGTGTGGGTGGGTGGGTGGGTGGGTTTCTGTCTGTTTGTTTATGGTGTGGCGGAGGTGTAGTAAGATGTAGGTATACAACCGGAGCCTGGTAGGCTACTAGGGATATTTATTGGGAAACAGGAATTGGGAGGATGAGGAATACGAGATGTGAAGGTGAGAGAGGGAGGGGGGAAGAGGGTGAGAAAGAGGGGTTCGTAAACGAATGACTGAGACTAGTTTAGATAGATAACTTCAACAATACTTAATCCCTTGGGCTGCGCGGGGGGGGAACGTGCATCTTTAAGAGCCCTGCGATATTATCAACCCTGGGGTATAGCGAATAGCACGAGCAAGGCAGGCACTGCCATGATGACATGACCCCGGGTCCGCGCGCAATTCATCCGGACCACCAGTTATAACAATGGCTATGGCATTTAGTTTCAACACTAAAAGTGATTAGGCGGGACTGGATCTGAAGGCTCCGGGTCTAGTCTACTAAGTTGTTACACAGACCCAGATTTGGTGCTTGCGTGTGCAAGTCTAGACTAGCTAGTGAGTGGGTGGAGAGGTGGATGGGATGCATGATGGTTGTCGTTACCAGACAGTGCATGAGTGTATGAGTGCCTGATCATCCCTCCACCGTGGGAATAATGTTCGTCAGACTTGTTTTGTGCTATCTTGGTTGTAGATGTAGATATTTAAAGTTCACCATCCCACTAGTGAAGAACTGGAACCATGGAATAAGGCTGAATGAAGGAACTGCAGAAGAGTCAAAAGTCGATGACAAGAGCTGCCAGGCACCCCCGGAAGAAGCAAGAAATGCAACCATTTTCGGGTCTGTTCAGTTCATCATGACATCAGCTCCCGGCCCTGATGTCACTCGCACCTTCCCTTCTCAGCTTCCTTCCTCTCATCCTCTCTAGCTCTAGCTCTTGCTCTGTTCCTTCCCCAATCAGCGTGGGCAGTCGTTCCTTCCCTTTTTCTGCCTACTACTACTAACCGAACTAACTAAACAGTACAGTGCTTTTACTTACTCATACCCTTACTCTCCAAGTACTACTACCACCTCATGAAACTCTACCCACAGCATCATCGGCGTCATTAACTTTATCCCCTCCCCCTTCTTCCTACACCCACCTTTTAACGTTTCTTCCCTTTTGCTGCCTACCCTTTAACCTTTCCCAATCCCTACCTTTTCTCCTCCTCTTTCCCTTCCCTTCTCCTCCACCCATCTCCTCTTCGTCAGGAATGCCTCGCCTTCTTCTACCCTGTAGACGATCGTCGTTATCTTATCATGGCAACCACCCTTGAACAACCCGCGCCCGTCGAACGCGTTACCCTCGGCCGCTCCCGGTCTGCCCGCTTAGCGGATCAAGGTGAGTTACGATCTGCATCCTTGCATCCTGGGCTCCTGATCGGCCTTGTGCCCTGTTAGCCTGTTTCACATCCCTACCCTACTTTATCATATCTCCACGCTGCTATGACCGATGATCTCATGCGTCCTAATGTCCCACTTTACTTTGTATACCGAGACGCGAATCCACAGCTAACACAACACCATGCACAGCTGCGACAGCCGCTCTCTATGTAACCCATCCAGAACGGAAATTATCAGTTCGTGAGCCCTCGACAGCTGAAACGGAACTAGCCAGTAAGTATCAGTTTCACCTATTCGTATTCACTCTACCATATGACCAATCCCCCCAAATACTGACTGTCCGTCTGTTCCCTAGCCTTGAAGGCGACAGGCTCCCGCCCCGGATTTAGCCATGCATCTGCAGTAGCCGCTCTCGCTCACGCCCAATCCAAAGGATGGGGGACAAAAGGTGCCGCTACAACACAGCATGTGGAAGACAAGCGCGCCTCCGATGTGCCAAGCCTGGAAGGCTACAAGGCTGCAGCCTTCGTTCTCAGGGACCGTCGGTCGATCGTCAGCTCTTCCACTGGACCTTCAGACCTCAAGTATGACTCGTCCGGAGCTGGTCAGACGGTCGAATCACGTTCCGGTACAACAGGCCGAGATAGGACGCGTTATGCGGTAACGGGTGCTTTATATGCTAACCGAAGGAGAGCTGACTCCGCCCCGTCAGAGGCGCCTCACGTGGGAATGGAGGCGGGCGAAATCCTTGGGGATCTCGACAACGCCATGGAAGCTAGTAGGATCCAGCATATTGCCAACACCAATGCGCGGCTTTACACCGCTACCCCTCCCGTCGCACCAGAGCTCGACGAATACAAGCGGAAGAGCATCCTGCAGGCTGCAGCAGTCTCTATGGCGCGTGACATGTATGCGGTTGTTGAGGCCAAGGAGCAGGGCCCCATCAGCCCCAGTCGCATGCGCTCCCAGCGGACAGCGACAGGAGCAGAGCCGATGATCTTGCAACAGGCTTTTAGCTTACAAGATGCCGCAGAGAAGCGGGCGGCGGAGAAGTTGGCCAGCATGCAGGATGAGGCGGCCATCTACCGCGAATACTACGGAATCGAGCCCCAGACAACGCGCTCTAGCTTACAGGTCCGCAGACGAAGGCTATCAATCGACAGTGATGCTTCTTCGGTTGACGCTGAGAGGTCGAAGGAGATCAGAAGCCAGATGTATAGTCTGCGAACAAAGCTCGATGCGGTGGATGAGCGCAGAGAAAAGGACCGCGCGCTCCTGATGGAGGCTGCGAGAAGAAATGTCGATGCTACCATCCAAGACATGGAGATGCGTGTTTATGCAGAGACAGGGCGCGCCCCAGCCGCCATGCAGAAGGAACTGGAGGAAACCGCCTTACTTCGCGCAAAGGAGAGACAGGAGACGGACACGCAGTACCAGTTCGCCGACCGCGTGAATATTAGCTCCCAGAAATACGTCGACATGGCAGATGTGGAGGCTCTCGCTCGTTCCCGGTTGCAACCCACGTTTGATGAAATCACGGACCGTGCGGAAACGAAGCGAGCTAGGGAGATAGAGCAGCGTCTTGATCAGGAAGAGGCTGAGAGACGAGAAGCCATCCAACGCGAGCGAGATGCCGACACAAGGGCAGAGGAGAGACGCATGAGAGGTGAGTTGTTTTGCTGATTGATACCTTGGAGAGAAAGACTAATCATATGCAATAGCTTCTTTGAGGACCGACTCCAAGTACAAAGAGGAGAAAGCCCGTTTGTGGAGCCGCAAGTCGAAGCGCACTTCCGAGAACGAAACCTATACGTTAACTGGGGCTGTTGACGGAGCAGCAGACGAGGCACGCGCTGAGACTGCGCCGCAACAGACGTCCACGGAGGGTGCTCAGGGGACAACTGCAGGTGCTGTTACGGAGACTGCTCCCGGCGAGGCCATTTCAAAGTCCGAGTCGAAACTGAGATCATGGTTCAAGGGTCGGCTCGGTCGTCGTCCGAGTGGACCCGCAGCAGGCGAAGCTACGACGTCAGGCAAGGACACTCTGGAAGTGGTCCCTTCAATGGAACCAGGGCCAGCTGCAGAACAGCCAGAGGCTCAAGTAAGTGAAACGGTAGAACAGCAACCAGAGCCCCGGGTAGCTGAAGCCACAGGGCAGCAGCCAGAGACCCGGGCAGTCGAAGAGAGGGAACAACTGCCGGAGCCCCAGGCAGCTGAGAGGGTGGAAACACAGGAAGCTCGAGAGATCTCAAGAGCTGAGCCAGTGCAGAAATCTGAAGACGAGGACGGGCGAGCTTGGGATATTGCTCATCCAGAAGAGAAGGAACCCGAAGTTCCGGAACTACCGGCTGCTCCTGTTGTCCCTGAAGAATCTGAACAGGCAGCTGCCGAGGACGACTCGCGAGGAGCAGCGCTTCGATCCCATCCTGTGACGGCCAACGACCTTCGCGTTATGAGTAAAAGGATGTCAGTCAGCGAAGGCCAGGATGAGAAGGAAGCTGTCAGCCAGGCAGGTCAGGAATCCGCTGGAGATAGGCGCAGTCGTCTCGTGAGTGGGTTCAAGAAGATTGTTTCCAAGAGCTCGTCGGAGGGTAAGACTGAAGGGATTGGCAGTAATGATATTGCTCGTCGAAGCTCACAGGCCATCCCCACTCCGGGGATGGAGACGGAGGAACGGCGGGCGAGCGCGGCGGAACAAGGCCTGTCTGTCCCAACCGTTCGGGCAAAGCGAGCGAGCAGCGGAACTGGGCGGGAATCAAGGTTCTCGGAGAAGTTGTGATTGATATGAATTGATGGTTTGTGTTGTCCATTATTCTATTTGAATGGGGGGCGCGCGGGGTGGGATATGATCTTACTGTGTAGGAATATCTTTTGTGTTTGTACTGTGTACTTTTACGGCGGAGGGAATTGGGGTACATACCACTAATGTGTCGTCTTCTGACTGATGTTACGGTACTACTGCGGTGTACTTCTGTAGGGATGGGTGTTTGTTGGATGCGATTGCTGTTTGCTGTGTGTTCACTCGGATCCGGGATGGGGCAGACAGTGATGGAACCGACGTTGAATTCAATTCTGATAATTAGTCTGCGAGTGACAATGCGAATGCTTGTAACCGGGGAGATGAGCATGCAACAGCGGGTGGAAACATCAACTATCTGTAGATCGTAGCCAGAATAGAAGCTGACTGGCCCGACGATGGGCGGCACTGCAGCGAGCAGATAATAGTCTAGTTTGGGCCATAAAGATAGTGTTGTTGATGGCTGAAGCTCCACCGCCATTTGCCGCGCGGCTCCCCATCGGCGCATCCACGTTTCCCTCCACCTTTTTCTGCCTTGGCCCGGGCCAATTTGGATATTGTCAAGATATCTTGCTGGATTCCTGCATGCTTAGTCCCGTTCGTTAGGTCGATTGGCTGCCCGGTTTGCGGTTGTTTGTCTTTTCTTTCTCTTTTCGGGTTTCCCACTTCTGCACTTATTACAGCGGACCTCCCAGTCATCCACTTCTTGTCCCACTTTTTTATCTGGCCTTATTCTGCCTGCGTTGAATCTTCACACAAGATTATCACGGACACTGCATTTGTACTATATATAAACCCCTCCTTTTTCTCTCAATTACATTTAAACCTGGAAGAACAAGACAGATAAGATAATCATGTCCTCTTCGCATCCCCGCCAATCGAGCGTAGATCTCGATTCTCCGGGTCGTCCGTTCGACAACATTATCAATTTCCGGGACGTTGGGCGTACGATTAACCAGTTGATTGGGAAGAGGTATGCATATCCTTGTATATCAATATATCGTATGCTGTATGCTGATAGCGTTGTATAGGGTGTTGAAAGAGGGTATCCTCTTTCGAAGTGCAAGGGTATATATACCTACCACTTTACATATTCTGTATATCAATGATATATGGAATGGTTGAAACACGTACTAACATCATCTCAATTACTTAAAGCTAGACGATGCCTCTGAGCGCGACAAACGCCGCCTCGTAGACGAATTCCATATCTCAACGGTCGTGGATCTAAGATCAAGGTATTATTCTCCCTTCAACTATATTAGTTTCCTTCATATTGACAAAGACACAGTACCGAACATCAAATAGCCACCAACAAGCGTTTAGCTGAACTAGCTGCTGCTGCTACCGCTTCATCAACAGAGTCGCCATCATCAACAGAGTCACCTGAAAGACAATCATCAACACCACCAGCACCAGCACCAGCACCAGCACCAGAACCAACAGCATCAACAACATCAACAACATCAACAGACATCCACCTCCCCGATCTCCCAACCGTCACTCGCTTCCCCGTCAGCTTAACAGGAAAAGCATTCGAGCGGACGCTTCTGTGGCGGTTAGATTGGTGGAATTTCTTGTACGCCCCCCCTCTCCCACCCTCTCTTCCCAAAAATCCTTATTCCCCAATCACAATCACTAGAGATCAAACGAAGAAACTAAGAAAGGGAAAAAAAAAATACAGCAAAGTCCTAGCCCTAGTAGCATCAGGCTACCGCCCCGCAGCCGTCCAAATAGTCGGACAGCAAGTCATGTCTCCGCGTGGATTAGTCGGACTAGGCATGGATACATTGGATAGTAGTTATGGGGAGATGAAGACGTTATTTGATCTATTCTCTTCTGTTACATCCAAGTCGTCCTCTACCTCTACCTATACCTCTACTGCAGATGGCAGCGATGATGAGAATGAGACCGAGGATAGTAGTAGTGCCTATCCAATTCTCATCCACTGCACGCAAGGTAAAGATCGCACGGGTCTGATCATCCTTCTTTTGCTTCTGCTCGTGGCGGATGTGGTACCGGAGGAGGTGATGAGGGAGGATTATCTCCGGTCTGAGGGTGAATTGGTCATTGAGATGGAGGAGCGCATGAAGGAGGTGAGGTTGTTGGGGTTGTCGGAGGAGTATACCAAGTGTCCGCGGCACTTTGTGGAGACGATTCGGGCGCATTTGGAGGAGAGGTATGGTGGGGTGCAGGGGTATTTGGGGACGGTTGGGGTGGGGAGGGAGCAGGTTGAGAGGATTAGGGAGGTGTTGTTGGCTTGATCTATTTATTTATTTTTTATTTCTTACATTGTTTTCTTGGTATCTTTTATTTCAAGGGGTGGGTATGTATAGGTAGATTTGATTTCTTTAGGTCTAGATGATGTCTTACTCGATGATATAATGTAATCATGTCTGCTTTATTATAACGTCTTTGCTGGTCAATATGGTAGTATCTCAATGATCATACATTATCCAGATATTAGGCACGTACTATACAGTCAACGTCATAGATCAATATGTGCAAAAGGATCGCAGATCAGGTCCCAAGAGACATCAACATCAGCCACACTAACAATATATCAATCAATTCAGCTCCATTATACAACCACTCCTATCCACGGGGTATATATCGTTAAATATCGTTCCAAAATAGTCAAACCATATCTCACACCGAGCCTACTCAAAGGGACCTAACTATATCCGCTGTCCCCGGTAGTAATTAGCATTGGGCCCTGCCGAGTCCGTCGTCACGGGCTCCTCGTAATCGTATGTGCCATCGGGATAGGCCGCTGTCGTCTGTCCATTTCGGGACACCTTCTCGCCCTGCGGCACATGTTTGCGCGTGCGCACCGAGGGCAGCAGGTCGATCACGAAAGAAAGCACGTAGAACGTGAAGATAAGCGCAATCACTGTTCTCAGTTAGTCGATCTATACATTTTCGTGGATCATCCACTGGAGGTTACTCACCCCATTCCAGAACTGCCGCTGCGTTCCGGTAATGACCACCCTTGTTGCCGAGGACACCAAAAGCAATGGCCAGCGCAATTTCAATGATGACGAATGAGAGCTTAATGATGAAACTGGCCAGGAGCACTCGGTGCTGGGAGCGATAGAAGATTCCCAAACGCCAGTATTCGCAACAAATGAGAATGGCGCTAATCAAGTATCCAACCCTGCAGATATGTCAGCCTCGGAGGAGTTCTTCCTGATTGCGCAATCAAATACTAACAAGAACATGATCAAAAAGCCATCATGCATATTCGGATGACGAAGAGTATCAAAGATCGAAAGGAGGATCAATCCCAAGGCGCCCGCAATCGAGAAGCAAATGGACGCGATTGCGCAGGCCTTGTCGAATTTGCCCTTGTTCGGGACCAATTGACCCGCATGTCGCAACCAGCGTTCTGACAGGAAAGAGAGATCGAGGAAAACGACAGTGACGCAGCTGCCCGCAATGAACAGCGGCTTCAGACCCTGTGCTCCAACGTCGGAAATATACCTAGAAGAGAACGAAAGATGTACAATCAGCATCGCAATCGCATGCCAGATCCAAGGTCGCGTGACACCTACGCAATGGTCTGACCCGTCTCCATACTGGCATATATCGGCGATCCTTCTCTGGCCCAGGTGGCCAGCATCGCAATCAACATGGCTAGAAGGGACTTGTCAGTCTCTATCGGAACAATTGACCCGCAATTGCATAGGGGGGAGACGCTACCAATCCATGTGCACGCCGAGATAATCGGAAATATCCAAAATGATATAATCCACATTCTCGCTAGATTATTTATATATTGCCTCCCCTCTACCAATGAAGTAATAAATGTCTCTGCAAGCAAGCGCAACAACCAGCGCACTTTAGCAACCGGTGCTGCCCAACAGAAGAGCTGCCGTGAAAAACTGACTCGAGGTAGTATAAGATGTCGCGATGGGCGATCGGGTGGAACGCGGGCGCCGGAAGGGGCGGAAGTGGCTTGTCGTCAATCAATGGATCCCGAGGGTCAGCAGGAAGAGGGAGGTAGGCGGCGTTTGACAGCGTTGGTGACACCTTGACCGACGACAAGAGGGCGAAATTGGCAGCGAGGGGAGGGGAGGAGGAGAGGAATAAAAGAGTGACTAAAGGGAAAAGAAGAGCAAAAAGACTGGGTCGGTGGAGAGACCGAGTCCGTCTTTAATTTAACACGCAACTGCCCAGATGGTGACGACGAAGAGGGCCCACCGGCCAGGAGAGTGGCATCACTGCTGAAGGGTAGTAGTACTGTAGTAGTACATAGTAGATCCCAAAGTCTATCCAATGGACTGCCGGCTGGTTCGGAAGCTCTGCAAAGTAAATCCAGAGTGGAAGCAAAGCAGAAGCTGGTATTGGCATTCTTTTGCACAGCCAATTTTCCCATGACCTCATCGACGTCATCGGTCCGCGGTTCCTCGCATTTCAGGCCCCAATTAATTAGTTAATTCCTTCATGCAAACACTCATCTTGCTTGCCTGCTTACTTACTACTTCTTTTAGCTCATAGTCTAGGCAGACACAATTCTGCTCGGATCGTCTTATACAGTCGATACAATTCTTATAGTCAGTCAGTCCGTTTAGGTTTCGGGATCCGCCACCAGCCACGGTGACTTGCATGAACTGTATCACGAGTTCGTCTCGCTTCCCTCGTCAGCAGGGATACATACTTCACTGCCACCACCGATCTACTACTTGGGGAACCTCCCTACGCGTTTCATTACTAACATTTACTAATATCATGATAATCTGGACAACAAATCATCACTATCAATAGTATCATTTCAGGTACCCGCTCTAGACGAACTCCATTACGTTTTATACGCGCAAGAAAATCAACCATGGGAATCCACGCAAGAAACATTCAAGGCTAAATCAGCTGCGACATGAGCCGCCCATGATAGAAAAGAAAGCAACGTTTTGAAAGGGCACGATTCGGGGGTTCAAGATCGACTGCTCCGGGGTCGACTGCCTCGCCCGATTGGCCCCCGTGTCGGCGTACTGCCGGCCACGCGGCGCTCAACCATGGCGCTGTTATCGGAACTATTTCCTTCCTCCTCTTCTTCCTCTGCACTGAGACGCCCCTCCGTCGCAGCCCCCGGCATAGCATTCACGCCTCGCCTGTTGCTACGCGCAGAATCGTCAAAGACGCTGCGATAGCCTGACATGTATGGAGTTGGCTCGGGGCGTCGACGATCGGTCGGGTACGGTGGCGGTTCTCTTGGATACGGCGGAGGGTACGGAGGCCCCCACTGTGGATCGTCAGGGAGGGAACGCACAGAGGGACTCTTCACGCCCACCGGTGTGCGAATCTGAGGGACGGAAGCCAGGCGGTCGAAAGCATAAGCTGGCTGGAGAGGGGATCGAGGCGGTGCTTGACTTGTAGGCGTGCGGGCAGATGGCGAACGTGCAGAAGCTGGGGACCCGCCAGAGGCCCCCGAGGTCCAGGCCCAGAACGCATAGGCAGCGTTGTTTTCGGCTAACGGTGAGGGCACGCTATGCTTATTCGCTGTCGAGGCATTGGACCCCCTCCGTTGCGCTCCCCTTTTGCTGCTGGGGCTCTCCGGCGGCTTCGAGGATCGGCTGCCACCGGGGGAAACCTGGGGACTTGTATTTCGATAGTCGTGATCAGGGGTCCGGTTTGCCTGCATGCGCTTGCGCTCCAGCGCCTCCATTTCTCGACTCGAAAGTCGTACGTTCTTCTGGCCCTGCTTTTGAGCGCGTCGAATCCGTTCCAAGGCTTGATCCACCAACCGTTCCTCCTTGTCCTTCATGGCTAGCTGAACCGCATACGCCACTGTGCTGTCCATGTCCTCACGCAGATCATAGTCCATCCCATCAATCGAATTTATCTCGTCCACATAATCATTGTAATCCATCTTCCGCCTGCGCAATCTAGGCCCTCCACCCTCGTCCCGACCCGCCGACTGCCTCGCATACGCCGATCGAGCGTATGCATCCTCCTCCTCCTCGCTGTCAATCTCCTCGACCCGTGCCGCACCGTCCACCCACGGAGCTGCACGTCTGTTTTCTCTCCCCACTCGTGCCCCCGGTGGTCTTCCCCATCGGGGCATACCGTAAGGAGTTCGCGGCCGACCACCTAGACCGCCTCCTCGGAAAAAGCATTCTCGATTGGTTTATCCATAAAAGCGGCGTGGCCGAAGACAGTCACGCCGGTGGCTCCGATCAGCCAGAGCACAGTGGAGATGGGCGAGGCCCAGAATCCCAGAGGCACCGCGACAATTAGCAGTCCGGTGTACAGCTGGGAAGTGTTGAACCGGGCGAAGCCCAATTCCAGGTCATGACCCTGGAGCTTTCCGATGCCGTAGAGACCACCGGTGACCAGGATGATGACAAAGAGCAACAGGGGGTTGGTCAGCAAGCTGTAGATGCTGAGCATCACGAAGACGGCGGCATAATTGCTAGAGAAGTAGGACAGATTGTAGTTCACACGGCTCTGGACCTCGCCAAAATGGGCGGGCTTGGAGACACGCTTGATGTCCAGGAATTCGGAGATGGGACGCAGGTTGGCAAAGCGCGTGCCGAGGGATTGAGAGCGAACGCTGTTGAACCGTTCGCCGAAGCGCGAGGTAATCGCATCAATGGGGATCTGGAGAGGCATTTTTGGAGATTCGGAGGAAACTCGAAAGATAAGGTAGGAGTAAGATAATTGAATGAGATGAAGTGGATCGGGAAAATAGTGATACGTGTGAGAAGCCTGAAGACGGTAAGATGATGGAGATGAAGTGTAGTAAAAGCAGTAAAGAAAAGGGGGAAGGACCGAGAGAGAAGAGAGACCGGGGAATGTTTTTGTCGAGGAAGATTGGAAGCGGCTTAGCTGGCCCGAAAGCAAAACCAACGAGGCGTTTTGGCAGCCTGGAAGCACCGAACTAGTCTAGGCGTATTCCAGTACTGGTCTCGGTATTTTTTTTTCGTTGGTATTCCTCCCCCGGCGGTCCCAGGCGGGAAGCACAGACAAAGTAACTGAAGTAAGTACCCTCCAGGTACCGATCCGCCTTGTAACAGGCTTGAGAGGTACCGCCCAGCAACGAAGAAGGTTAATTGTGAAGACAAGTGGACTCGGGTGCTTCTTATAAGGTATCGGAGGAATGGATGGCAAGGCAAATAAACAAGGCACGTTTGGATCCAACGCTTGAGTCACTGCTCCAGTCGCTGCTCCGGTTTCATGGACCCTCGAATCCAATCAAGATACAACGGTGGATGAGGCCCGCTAAGAATAGAAAGCAGGGCAGCAATGGGTGGAGAGAGTAGAGAGACAGACCCTTCGAAGCTGGATGCGGAAGAAGAGATCTCGATAGAAAGAGAGATACACACGATCACTCTTGAGGGTTGACTACTCAAGGAGCCATCCCAATCACTTCCCCTCAATCATCTTCCACTGCTCTTCCAATTCCATGCCCTGATATGCCCTATTTCAGGTGGTAATCGAGGAAGAAGAGCACTCAGTAACTCACTATCCACTACACTACTGCCAGAGGGGACTTGTCTCGAATTTAAACCCCAGCTGTCCCAACCACCACCCCCTCTCTCTACTGCCAGCCAGCCTGTGAGTTGGAATAGCCACTTCTGCAAACATTAGGTATCAATCACATTTCCATCTACCTATCTCTTTTCGATTTCTCCTCACCTGGCCTTGGATCCTTTATTGGACCACGTCGTGCAGCTGCAGACTCCACTGGACCCGTACCGTAATTCCGTTTCAGGCGTTCCATACCGATCTGGGCGGTGAACCCGGATTTGCCCATTCTAGGCCTAGCTCTCTCGTCACGTAAGCGTAACGCCGTTCCTGCCTGATGACAGATCATTGCTTTGGCGGTATCGTCGCCTGAGGATTCCACCTATCTCGTTTTTGGAGGAAGAACAAGTTACAAAGTACTTCACCACTTGTTGAATCATGAACATGAGTTGCATGTAGTCTTTTGTTTGGCGCATCAATTGTTCTCCACTGCTCATTCTGTTTCATTCGTTCTCTTCTCATTCGCTTTGGGTCCAGCGGCTTGACCGCTCCCTTCTTCCACGATGAGGTCTATCGCACTTCGTCTGTTTGCGTTTGTAGCCCTGATTGTTCTGGCCGCGGCTTGGACTAAAGAAGGTCAGTTGCTGCTCTTTTTTCCTTTCTGTTATCCCGCAAACCTTTCTATTCCCACATACTAAAACTCTGCGACTCTCCAGATTATGAAATCTTCCGTATCAATGACGAACTCGCCGCTGCAGAAGGTCCCAATGTGACATTCTACGGTACGTTTCCCCTGAGCAAACAAATTCCCCTTCCACCTCCAAAGTCCCCCGCCACTGACCATTTTCCAAACGGACAGATTTTCTCGGCGCCAAACCCAACGCCAACCAAGATGAATTGAGCAAGGCCTACCGTCAGAAGTCCCGACTTCTGCATCCCGATAAAGTCAAGCGGTCCTTCATCGCCAACAGCTCCAAGGACAAGTCTCGCTCCAAGTCCTCCAAGTCCGGTGTCCATGTCAACAATGGTCCTTCGAAGCGCGAAATCGCCGCGGCCGTGAAGGAGGCTCATGAGCGCTCCGCTCGCCTCAACACCGTCGCCAATATCCTCCGTGGCCCGGGTCGCGAGCGCTACGACCATTTCCTGAAGAATGGTTTCCCCAAGTGGAAGGGAACTGGTTACTACTATTCGCGATTCCGTCCTGGTCTGGGATCCGTGCTTATTGGCTTGTTTCTGGTCTTTGGTGGTGGTGCGCACTACGCTGCTTTGGTGCTGGGCTGGAAGCGCCAGCGGGAATTCGTCGATCGTTACATCCGTCAGGCGAGAAGAGCTGCCTGGGGTGATGAGTCTGGTGTCCGGGGTATCCCCGGTCTTGATGGTGCCTCAGCTCCTGCCCCAACTCCGGCTCCGGCTCCGGAGCCCGAACAGAGTGCTATGCCTATGAACCGTCGCCAAAAGCGCATGATGGACAGGGAGAACCGCAAGGAGGGCAAGAAAGGTGGCCGGGCGACATCTCGGAACTCTGGAACGGCCACGCCCACTTCCGAGCCTCAGACGGAGCCCACTGGGGAGCGGAAGAAGGTGATTGCTGAGAATGGGAAGGTACTGATTGTCGACTCTCTTGGAAATGTGTTCCTGGAGGAGGAAACAGAAGATGGCGAGCGTCAGGAATTCTTGCTCGACGTCGATGAGATTCAGCGTCCGACAATTCGTGACACGATGGTCTTCCGCTTGCCGGGCTGGGTTTACTCTAAGACGGTTGGCAGGTTGCTCACTTCAAATGCCGTGGATAGCGGTGATGAGTCAGAGGAGGAGCTTTCCGAAGTCGTGGAGGAGTCGACTGAAGGCACCGCCAGCTCTGCGAGACCTTCCAAGGCAAGGAGGCGGGGAAAGCGGTCTCAGAGATCGTAAAGAATCCGACATAGATAGCGAAACCCGCTTACTTGGTAAGCGGTATTCTCTGTGGTTCGATGCTTTTCCCCTCAAAAAGCTTACGAACAATTCTTGCCATTGCATGTGTACAAATAGTGTTTGGTGTCTAAAAAAATATTTTTGAAGGCCAGAAGGCCGTGGGGACGTTTCATTGGAATCGTGTCTAAATACTTGAACATTTGCATAACACCGTAAACGAGAAATATCAAAAACATATCGGGAACATGGCTCTTTGGATTTACCCACAACCGCCAACGGACATTGTAACCAAGAAGCATCAAGTCAAGTTTGCGTCGTATCGTCATTGTCGTATCATGATCGTGTCGTGTCTATCTTTTCTGACTAATCCTCGCTGATGTTCCCATTCATACATCAAAGTGCAGAAGCGCTGGAAACAGAGGTCAAAGCAATGCCTCAGTAGTTACATCAGCATTTTCGCAATGTTCATGAGGCCCTTGATATTGTCTGACATGCTGTTGCCACTGGGCTTCGATGAGTTCCCGCCAAAAAGCCCCTTTGGCAGTCGGATTCCGATCATGGCGAGCAATTTCTGCAGGACACCACTCGTGAGGAGCGGTATGACAACCAGCATGAGAACCTTCACCGGGTTCCGACGCGCATAGTCGTAAATGTCACGGAGCAAGCGTTTGATGGCGCGAACCACCTTCTGTACGAAGCCTGTTCGGGGCCGTGCGCGCCGCGATGAGGACGAAGAGAGCACGGACGGGCTGGTGCGTCCGACACGACTACCACCGCCGTTCAGACTGAATATCGAGGGAGCAGAGTGACGAGGATGATGAGTTGAATAAGTGGAACGTCGTGAGGGGGAAGAACGTCGGCGGGAATGAGAGTGGTGGGAAGACGAGGATGAAGATTTTCCATCAAACCAGCCCATCTTGAATCGGTGTTCCTGATTATGGGTGCCTTGAACGACTTATTGGCAGGGTCAAATTTGGAATCTCGGCCAATGCTGACACAGTACTTTCCCAAGCGATTTATTTGATAAAGATGGCTGGAAGCACGAAAGTATGACCCCTCTGGATGTATTGTGTGCTGGTGAAACCTGTAAAAAGCAATCGCGCTATTGCGGAGTCGTAGCGTGCTGCAAATGCACACAATTTGAGGTCCAGGCGTTTTGGCCAGCTCCACAGCTGAGTCGCGGTGCGGATGTTGGACAAGTCACAAGCTGGGGTTGTCCACACTGCTGTCAATTGATTGTGACTGCAAGTCTAATCTATCATAGACAACTTTGAGTCTCCTTAAAGGTGTGCAATTGAGAGGGTTAAAGTAGCATGGCGAGCCGTGTGAGGGAAGTTAAATGAAATGAAGGGGGGAGGGGATTAGGTGAGACTCCCCCGTCTGTGCAGGAGGCAAAGCTGAAAACCATCACTAACCACTGAACTGTGCCTACTGTTTAGTGTGTTCCTAGCAGTGGCTAGCATCTGCAGCGTACGTACAGCGCTCTCTACGAGTGGCTGGTGACAGTGGTTCCGGGCGTCCTAAGTTTGGCGCCATCCCCATGATTGGTGCTGCCCTCAGGGGCTTCCCGTCTCTGCTGTTTAGTCAGAACCGAGTCGCTGGAAAAGGCCGAACCTTCGTTCCGTGCTTCCTGATGCCTGAGGCATAAATGCCTCGTCGACGTCATCTTTCCCCCGCCGTCATGACCTCTCAGGAAGAGTGGACACGAATGAAGCTACACTCATCTGGCTCTTCACCATCTGAGTTTGGAGCACGGCACATCTTCTAACATAAAGACATTTAGACATGCCTAGTAAGCGTGCACGAACGTGTTTCATGGCTTTGACATATGAACTGACTGTGGATTAGAACAACGCGATTATTGTACGAAATGCCAACTTCTACATACTGTATGGAAAGAGAACTAATCAATGTCCAATGTAGACAAGGTACTGGGAGTGTCTCCCAGAGCGACACAACAAGAAATTCGCAATGCATACAAAAGGTGAGTCAATGCCCATCATGCTGCGACCATGCTCTGTTCTGAACTATGTAGGGAATCTCTGAAGTCTCATCCAGACAGAGTCCCTGTCGACTCGCCAGAGAGGGCGGCTCGGACACGCAAGTTTCAGGAGATTAGCGATGCTTATTACACGTTGTCGGATGTATCACGCCGACGGGAGTATGATGCGATGAGGATGGCAGGCGGTGTCGAGGAGGAAGAAGAAGAAGTGCCCCGTGGAGGTGCAGGAGGGTTTCCCTGGTCCGCTTTCGGCTTTGGCACTGGCACTGGCACTGCTGATAGTGAGCAACGTGCAAATGAGCAATTCGGGTCGGTGTTTGAAGAAATGCTGCGTGAAGAGGGCCTTGCCAGCGAAGGCACAGATGCTGACGGTCAGACTCGTTCACACCCGACATCTCGGTTCTGGTCCGTTGTAGGTGGGATTAGTGGTGGTGCTCTCGGTTTTATCGTAGCTAATGCTCCAGGAGCATTGGCTGGCGCAGTCGCTGGCAATCGTCTTGGTGCAGTGCGAGATGCCAAAGGAAAGAGCGTTTACGATGTCTTCCTCCAGCTTCCTCAAACAGATCGAGCAAGGCTTTTGAGTGAATTAGCAGCCAAGGTCTTTCAGACGACCATGGGCCGTTGACGTTTCACGCGATGGATCGGAGTTTGAGTTGGTCTGGCGTTGTTGTTGTCTGCCTCATATACAAGAGTTTTATTGGCCTGTGGCTAGTCTTAATGGAACTTGAATACACTATCAGTATCTGTACGCTCGGAATCAGAAATATATTGACTACAGACGAAAGAGGAACAGCCACAATGGCAACGGCAATAGATGTACGGAGTAGTACTATTTACGCCTTTTTCTGCGATTTTCTCAGCAACCACCGTATGGCTTATCACACTTATCGATAAGCGAAGCAAGCCCCACGTGGATCATCCGTATGGAGAAATTGGAGATTGACCGCCTTGGGCCTGGCCTTGGTGCCTCACTGCCTAGCTGTCTGGAAGCCGCCCGATACGGTTAAGCTGTAAGAATGTTTGTCTGGAACCCCCGCTTGTCCCTCCAGCTCACCGCATGCGGCTGTCACAACGTCCGCCCCTGAAAAGATACATAGTCCAATTGCCCCTCAGTCAATTGCGCCTTTGGCTTCAGAGACTCTCTCACTTACCTTATTCCTCAACTCTCTTCCAAATCTATATCCATTATGGCCACTGAAGCAGCCGGCATTTATCCTGCCCTGCAGGACCGCCCCCTCAAGGGCACAATCTGTCTCTTTGATGTCGACAAGACGTTAACGCCTGCCCGAGCTGTAAGTTCGCAAGAATGAAATGATCAACTCCTTGGAATTGCTCTGTCTATTCACTTAGTATTTTGAAAGACTAATCTGTTTCTTTTTTACACCGATTATAGAATGTCACCCCGGAGATGCTCACGCTTCTCTCTCAGCTGCGTCACAAGTGCGCGATCGGATTCGTTAGTTGTCTTCATTTCTCTTAGGGTCAGCGCGCAGTCTCACATTGTCAGGTCGGTGGCTCGAATCTTCCCAAGCAGCAAGAACAGCTCGGTAGAAACACCACGGACGTCACAACCCTATTCGATTTCTGCTTCGCCGAGAACGGTTTGACCGCTTTCCGCCTGGGCAAGCCTCTTCAAAGCAACAGCTTCATCCAATGGCTGGGAGAGGAAAAATATCAGAAGTTGGTCAACTTCTTGCTCAAGTACATCGCCAACTTGGAGCTTCCTAAGAAGCGCGGCACCTTCGTCGAATTCCGCAATGGCATGATCAACGTCAGCCCGATTGGCAGAAATGCTAGCACCGAGGAACGGAAGGAGTTTGAAGCGTATGTATACGAGCGGTAGCTCGGTGCCCACATATACAGGACCTCTTGACTAAACTTATGAGCAGGTATGACAAGATTCACAACATCCGCCGCGACCTTGTAGATGCGCTCAAGAAGGAGTTCCCTGACTATGGTTTGAGGTATGTAATAGGATCACCAGGCCTTCAGTGACTGCGTATGGTCATTACAGTTATTAACAGTTCTGAACAGCTACTCCATTGGTGGTGAAATCTCGTTTGACGTTTTCCCGACCGGCTGGGACAAGACTTACTGCCTACAACATGTCGAAGCCGAGAAAGATATTACGGGTATCGATTATAAGACGATCCACTTCTTCGGTGACAAGACATTCCCAGGTGGTAACGACTACGAGATCTACAGTGACCCTAGGACGATCGGTCACTCCGTTGAGGACCCTGATGACACCATGAGACAGTTGAGGGAGCTTTTCCAGCTCTAGGGGATGATTTGGAAGACACGAGGGCCATAATCGCATTCAGGGTCCGGAACGGTCATATCAGCTAAATATTATCTACTAGCCAACAGGATTTGGCGTTCTCTATGAATAGGACAGCGAAAAACCGTCTTACATATTGCTATTGTGCCTTTACCTTGGTCGATCGTTTCCGTCATCTGGTCCATTCAACTCATAGCACTTCCTTGGTTACGAAAACAGTAGGCGCTGTACCTAAAAGAAAAACCACTATAGTCAAAAGCACAAGATGAGGAAGTGACAGTGTCAGTAGGTCCGCGAGAAGATTACTGACACGGAGTCCAGCTAATGATGCCGCATGCGGAATTTAAGTTGTAGACCCTGATCCCTGAATTAGAGGTGGTAAGCAGGCCCTTCGGAACGAAAGGACTAATCTGTAAAGCAGTGATAGTTAGAATAGAGAAAATTGTATTATGAAATAAGGCCTGACGCCAGTTCTAAACGGTTTGTACAGCAACAAGAGAAACAGAAAAATGGCCCATGGGATCCTATCATAAGTGAATAACGATAACCCATCTCAGTTGCGAAACGCTGTAATTCCAGCAACAGGACGAGTCCAGAGCAGAAATCAGACACTGACAGCTAGGAGGCATGCGGTGCCCGAGATCATGGTGCAAACATGTATGAGACCCAAATATGATCAAAGTAGATGAAACCCAAACAACATAAGCGGATCCTCCAATTTTTATGTCACTGCAGAGCATGTTTCCATGGCCTCCTGCGTTATCTATCTATATGTAGTTATTGTTGGAAGCACAGATCCGGCCATGACTGTGCCATGGTTGACTAAGCCAATGATTAGAACGGAAAAATTCCGGACTTAACATAACCCAGCCCTATCAGCACGTGAGATCTTCTTATCAGATCGCCGTATCGGAGCAACAGTGAGAGAGTATTACTCGACTCAACACTCATTTGGTGGCAAGCTGAGGCGTCAGAGACAAGAGGGGGCGGCATGACTGTACTGAATGCAGAAATTTCTTATCCTGGTACAACTCCTTGACATCTTTTAGGGTGGCATGTCTTAATATTCTCTACTAATCTTCACGCTCCAGGCAATGTTCCGGAATCATTGGCCACTGCCTTCGTCAGGCCCGAGCAGCCAGTGACCCATGAGCATCCGAGTAAACGTCGCAAGCTGGCTTCGGCAACTCGGAGCCTTAGACAGTTCAATGGGTTATCGGACTCACGGGTACCAATAGGTTATATACCACTGGCGCGTTTCAACCTGCGCTTGGTATGTATCCTCCCTGTGTGACAGGAGCCGGCCTCTCCCGAGTCTCTTTAGACCAACCTGCTGATGCTTGATAGAACTTTGATTCTGCAACTCATGATCGAGATGACAAGGATGGTGCTACCGAGCCGCTGGATACTGTACCTGTCATCCTCGATGTAAATAGGGTTGCTCCGACCCAGTCTGCCACTGTTCAGAATGAAGGGCTGCATAGCTGTCTCAGCCTGGCACTAGTGTCGGCTTTTGGGCGTGAAACAGTTTTCACTATTGAAAGCTCTGATTCGGAGCTCGTTATATTGGGTAATCATCTGTCTCTCGCCTCAAGCCTTGCTTGCGCCGACCACTTTCAAAAGAATGTGCCTTCAATTTGTTATCAATCTACTCTTCACTGTCTGTCTGATGGGAAGACGTTCAGCTTGGAGACGGTCATCATGTGGAGGGACTCCCTTGATGTCCCAGATATCAATAAGATGCCGACTGGTCCAGCAAAAGTCTTCTCGAGGTACATCTTGCGGGATGATGATGACACAGTATTCGAAAATCTTCGGCAAAAGCACCGTAGGGATATGGGTGCAACAGGTTGGTCACCACGTGACTTCTATGAAAATGTACATGTCCCACCAGACAATCCTGCTTCATCAGCAGATATAAAGTGTGACTTGTTAGAGTGTCAGCTTTTCCCCTTTCAAAGAAGGGCAGTCAGATGGTTATTGCAAAGGGAAGGCGTGGAACTTCAACCCGACGGGAGAATTGCTCCTTTAAAGCGGGAGTCT